AAACCATAATAACGTTCGTGTTCGTGGCGCATACGCTCACCCAGAGCATCCATGCCCAAACCATAATAAAGTTCGCGTTCCAAGAGCATACGCTCACCAGAGCATCCATGCCCAAACCATTTCAACGTTCGTGTTCCAAGAGCATACGTTCACCAGAGCATCCATGCCCAAACCATAATAACGTTCGTGTTCGTGGCGCATACGCTCACCCGAGCATCCATGCCCAAACCATAATAAAGTTCGCATTCCAAGAGCATACGCTCACCAGAGCATCCATGCCCTCTCTTTATGCTTCAAACTTCAAACCCCAAGTAACCCTTGGCAAGTGGTATTTCTACCTTTTCTACTCCTCCCGAAAGTTTCGCTTTTTTCTACTTTCAAAAAGTGCTTTTCGCTGTAGCGAAACCCTTCAAATCGCTCAAAATGTTGACCCGTCTCAGTGTTTTAGGCCCTCCCCAAAATGAGCCTCTAAACTGCAAATCTGCAAAAACCCAACGTTTTTGCAGATTTCAACTTCCCCAACCACTTTCCCTAGTCAAAAAAACCAGGGTCCACGAACAGACGTGCCACCATGTTTTAGTATGACGTCCATGGATACTTTTTTCGAGGACGGTCGCAGCAGATCCTCTCATAGAAGCACCGCTTGTTTGCAGCACACGAAGAAGTGGAACGAAATGGCTACCACTACCGAAACTGAAATTACCACTGTGCCTGCTATCCGCTGCAATGCTGCTTTTAGTTCAATGGATTTGGGTGCCAAGCCTGGCTCTCTCCCTGAAGAGATGGCACCTCGGAGACGGGCTTCCCTAAAATTCGAAACACACACCAAACGTTTCAAAACACTCCGGCCTCCTTGGCCAGACCTCAGTTGATCCGTTCAGGGTTGTGAACCACAGTAGGCACGCCTTCGGAATAGCCACCACTCAGCGCTGGGCGCAGAAAGTTTGAGCAATGAAACCTGTCAACATCGCAGACTTCCCTACTACCCCCGGATGTTGTCCGCTAGGCACTTGTGCATCGCGAAACACCGAGAGTCTTGCCGTGCCGTAAGCACTGCCTGCAAGCGTGAAGCTCATAAGGTCTGATACCCTTTTCTGACGGGGAGTTCAAGCCTCCTCAGTCTCTTGAAAACAAGCCTGCTGTGGCTGCCAATGTAAGTGAGTTGTGTCTGCGCAGATGATGGTAAAACCCGCCTTCGCGCAGCCTCCAGCGGCTTGCGCAAGTACATTAGCTACAAGCTCCTCGGACTGCCGAGGTCAAGAGATGAGTCCACAAGCAGCTACTGCAACAAAATCTCCACAAACCATCGACTATCCATCCCTTCCTCAAAATGTGCTAGATTCTGCCGAATAAGCATGAAAACTTAGCCAGCTGCAGCAAGCTAGAACATATGGGTGAATGCATGCAGGGCCTTAAGGTCCTGGCTTTGTCTGCACAGGCATCCATGCATAAGGCCTTCTGGCAGCGTCTTTCTGCGAATCTCCTGATCCCAGAGCACAATTTGCCTTCAATATCCGCCATGAAGCGTTCAGGATACC